CTTCACGCCATAGACCTCCTCCTCGAAACTCTTATCGCCGTTTGCGCCACAAATGGACACAATTATGGACAACACGAAGAATGTGATGAGCAATGAGTTATTTGATACCATCGCTGACGAGATCATCCGTTTTGTTGACTAATTTTGTATTTAAATCACAAATTTATGTAAAAATATTCAAATATTACAAAATTTATAAATTTATGTCAAAAATTGTAATCAATTAGTGATTTACTAATTATGAGGATATTTATGGTAACAATCAATTCATATACGAAACGCTACAAAAAAACTATTATTTTTGGTCTAATAATAGCAAACACTGCTATAATTTCCCATTCATTTGAATCACATTTTATTCAACATTTAATTGACAGTAAAATTATATGTAAATTGTATAAGAATTTGTCTAAACATATCCCGTATTGGTTGACAATTCTTAAGCTGAATAAGCATAAGAAAAAGCATGAATGTCAATATTGAACATTACACGAGCGCATACTCCATAAGTAGCAACTCCTATCTGGGTTTAATTAACCGGCTTATCGCCAGTATTGGCGTAAAGTATATGATATTTCACCAGTACTTTCAAATCTGGACTTTATATACACCTATTGTTTTGCCACTTATTGTCTAACTCTGGCACTAAAAACCTCTCATTTAGTTTCAACACTCATATCGTTTACAATTGATTACAATATAATGATTGTAACCATAAATGACAAACATTTTCCAACAGTTAGCTGTCATTCATAATGTAATTCAAAACTTTTATTAGGTTTGCATTGTTTTTCATGACATTCCCAGGCATTCATAACACAATTAAATTTAAAATTTGTTTTATTAGCAATAATTACAACAGAATTAATGGCATTTTTAATTAATGAATAAAATAAAAAGAAAAATAATTAATTAATTTCATAAAACAATAAATTCTTGTGTACTGGCGATGGTGTCAATAAACCCGTGATGTTTGGGTTCAGTTAATACAAGCTCTCAATGTTCTTCATCGAGAGATAATAGTTGTATCCATTGTTTAAATATCTTATACAACAACACAAACCCCTCTCCGACGACAACTCATCAATACTTTCGTGAATACTATTTGAATGAATGCTTCAAAGGATATATTGAGGAAAGAAAAAGATACCAGACTTTTAACAATAAAACTATTTTAACATAAAATAAAACATTCAAATCTTATCAATACATAAAACACAGTAATTTACTAATTATATTCATAACATATTTATATACACATTACCAGAGAATATAAAAAATAAATGTTATAAATATTTAACACAAATTTTGATTACAAATAATGTTTATACAAAATACAAAACTTTTATGTAAAAAGTTTTAATTCAAAAACATGTCTTTCTGTGAGACCAACTCATCCGACGACTGGATTAGCAATAATTGAAAATTTCAATAGAAATGTAAAAATAAACTCAAAATTTGTGCGGATTTTTCTCTTAACAAAAGGATTGCGATAATTGTTTAAAAACTTCACGTCTGATCACAAGGACTAACCACTTGTTTGGCCACAAATCCANCAATAATTGAAAATTTCAATAGAAATGTAAAAATAAACTCAAAATTTGTGCGGATTTTTCTCTTAACAAAAGGATTGCGATAATTGTTTAAAAACTTCACGTCTGATCACAAGGACTAACCACTTGTTTGGCCACAAATCCAGACATCAAATGAGCACATCTTTACATGTATTTGAATTTATGTATAACTTTATGGGAAATTATTTTTTGCTTTTCATTCATAATCTCAAGGATTTCGTTGGAAATGTGAAACTTATTTTAATTTCAAGCATTTTTACGCTATATTTGATTGTTTTAAAAGAAAAATTTTTCAATTTAATACAATTTAATACAACTATTAGTACAGCAAATGCTGTCTAACCTATGGATCCATTGGATTAAATCATTAGGTCTTCACGAAGACAATCATTTTAAGGTCAAGTGTTTTGCATACCCTTCCCCTCTCAGCCGTCAATATAATCTCAATTTTAAATTATTGTTTTAATTAAATATTAATTTAGTTCACATTTACATAGATATTCAAAAAGGCTATTAAAATTTGATTTACAAATTTTGTATTTTCAACTCAAACTTATGCCTAAATTATAAAATGTTAAAATTAATTACAATATAAACATAACATGAAAACTATTCAACTATTAGACTAATAAATCAATCAATACATTTGTAATTAAAATTTCAATAAAAACATGATCAAAATCTTTTAATAAACAAAAATCATGTGTTAAATAATAGGCCTTAAAGTAAGCAAATATTTTATAAATGGCAACAAAATATTTGCTATAATTACAGTTAAACATACATTAAATTAATTAAAATTATAATTAAAAACAATTAAAAGTTTTAATTAAATTAAAAAACACAAATGCATTGCAAATGCATTGATAGGACGTGTCATATGTTTTTTGTGTTGGCATTTAAACCGTACATACATTTCAATGGCATATGAGATGAGATGTTGTATTGAATTGTCATTCAATTACATAACATAGCGAACAATGGATTGGTTTGAGTGATAAACACGTGATTTAATTAAAAACAATTAATGAAATGTAATGAAGAAGTGCTGACAAAACACAATACAATTAGTATTTGTTTTTATGAAAACATATTTTCATTTCAAAAGTTCAATGTTTTTCACCACAAGAAAACAAGTCTTTCAAAGGTGTGTCCCATCCATATATAGCGTGATTAATAAATGCCCATTTATTGACCCCTATTTCACAATCACCTATATCAATTTATGTGATGTGATTTAACCAGATCAGATTAAAAAGTGTTGTGTAGAAAAATATTTTATACTTACTACATTGATTATAAAAATACAATAAACATTATAATTAAAACATTATTTTAGTAACATTCTTATTTTCATACAAACATATGTAATTACATTAAATTGTACGGGAAATTTACGGGTATTTCCCGGGGGTTAACCCTTGAACTATATGGGGCAGGGAAGTTTATTATCTGTAAACAAAAGTTATTGCAAATTGGGAATATACCGGGAATTTAAAATTATGGCAAGTTGAAAGTTTGTAACAAAATTAACTTCATAGTAATGTTCGGTTAGATTATAATAAAGTTGAATTAGATTGTAAGACGGTAGTATTACAATAAACCAAGCCATGTAAACTAATATTTAATATGTGCATGGTCGTATACATATTTTTATGCAAAATTATATAACTTTTGATACAAAAGTTAATTTCTGAGAGGAAATTACATAACAGTATGTGTTATATGAATGGTTTCCTATTGGAAATGCCGGTGTATTACGTGTCCAAAGCATACCATACGTGCGCTAAAGGGTTGTACAGCAGTGAGAGAGAGCTATGAGAGAGTTATGAGAGAGCTATGAGAGAGCATTAAGAGGGGATCGCAAAGTACAGTATAAAGTGCAACATAATTAATGTATAGGTTTATAATGTATGAGTTGTGTGGAGCTGTAATACAGTGTGTGTAGAGCCCGAGCGCTGCAGTGCTTTGCAATGATATCCTCCGCTGAATATACAGCACAACAGACACACAGTCAGAGTGAGAGACAGACCAGTCATTTGTCGTACACTTTAGTGTGCAGTCTATGGGAGTGAGTGTTTGAGTGCTATTAAAACACAATAACAATATTATTGTTAATTTCATCGTAAGTATTGTTTTGCCACTTAATTAACGCCGTTTTTCACACCAATTGTTGTCCAATGAATGTGTATTTAATGCTATTAATTAACGTTTGTGTGCTTTAAATGGTATTTTGTTAACCATTTGACACTTACGGCCCGTTTTGGCGATTATTTTGTTATGATTTTTATTTTGATTTTTTTTCTGCCACTCATTAACACAAGCGTTAAGTTTTGGGCGTTTCTTATATACATATCGACACCCTTTTGATGATTAGCTCTTCATTTGACCACTTTATTAGACATCACTTAATGGATCCACGAGTTCGTGGGCTCTGGAGGCTGAACCACGAGTTGTCTCAATCAGCAGATGGGCTGTTGTCGTCGATGGTGTCAATGCATTTCATGTCAAACGCTTAATAAGTCTAATATGATTAAGATCTAGATTTTTTCAGTTGCTTTTCCGGTTAAATCACTGCTATTTTTAACACTAATTTAGTTATAATTTATATGTATAGCAGTGTTAACACACGCCTCGATATAACAGTGTATTGAGTTATGCAGTAATCCATTGATATTTTTTTGCCCCAACTTTTTATCACCAATTCATGCATTTTTATGATATTTTGTATTTCGTTATCAATTATTGTTAGATTTTGTGACACATTATAAGTAAATCTCTTTTCAATCAACAAATTGTTTGTTTCACAAAACAAACATTCATTTCGTTTCTCTCATTACCTGTAACTGTAATCTCAGTTTTGGTTATTTGTGTTAATACACCATAAATATGATACATTTTACCATGGTGAATCTAATCTAACCTATGCTATTTTTATCACCACTGTTTAGGTGCCACACATTATACAACTGCTTGGATCAGACTTGTGGTGACGACATGTGAATTAGTGGTCAATAAAGCGGTCATCAAATAGTGTCAAAAAACGAGATTATCTTCTATTATATAAATAGATTTTTACTGTAATATAACGACAATTTGAAGACAATTACCACTGATGTCTGAAATACACTCTTTCGGAACCGATGCCATTCCCTGTCACGCGTTTAACGCTTCCAGAAGTAGTAAGTGCTGTCCGAATGACATGTCATAATTGGTGTCATACTAATGGTGACATACCTTTCCGTTCTCCCCCTCCAGAGGTGGCCCTTTCGCCCAACAATAATGAGGTCCATATCTATCAAAGAGATGGCATTAAGTGGACATTGAGTCACAATTTAAATCAACACGATTTAAGGATAACGAGTATTGATTGGGCGGCAAATAGTAACCGAATAGTGACCTGTTCTGCGGTAAGTGACCGCTGATTGGTGTTTTCATTTGATTCGTGTATTGATGTCCATATCGTTTGTGTCACTCATAGGACCGAAACGCGTACGTCTGGTCTCCAGTTGACGGCCAATGGAAGCCGACACTAGTGTTACTGCGGATCAATCGGGCGGCCACTTGTGTCCGGTGGTCGCCGAAAGAGGACAAGTTTGCTGTGGGAAGCGGTGCTAAACTGGTGTCTGTGTGTTATTTCGAAGAAGCCAACGACTGGTGGGTCTCTAAACATATCAAAAAGCCTATTCGCTCGACCGTCACGTCCATCGATTGGCACCCGAATAACGTGCTGTTGGCCTGCGGTTCGACCGACTTTAAGGCCCGAATATTTTCCGGTTTCATCAAAGAGGTGGACAAACGGGAAGGCGAGTCGACGCCGTGGGGCGGAAAGTGCAGTACCGGCGCACTGGTCGGCGAGTTCTCCAACGGCGGAGGTTTGAAATATTGTTTAATTGTTTTACTAAAAGTGTTGTAATAAATGATATATTGTTTAACGAACAGGCGGTTGGGTTCACGGCGTGAGCTTCTCGCCCGACGGGAACCGTTTGGCGTGGGTTTCGCACGACAGCAGTATTTCTGTGGCCGACGCTAACCGAGGAATGGCTGTATCAACAGTGAGGACACGGTTTTTGCCTTATTTGTCGTGCGTGTGGTCGGCACCCGATCTGATTGTCGCGGCCGTAAGTGTTGACACTAATTAAATTGAGTCCACATATCCTAATGTATTATAAACTTTGGTTCAAAGGGTCACGACTGCTGTCCGATGCTATTCCAGTACGATATGAGTCGAGCGGAGCTTAAATATGTGGATAAAGTGGACAAAACTCTTAAGAAAGAAGTGGACGGATTTAGGTATTGTTTGCGTTACTGTGAAACCCCGTTATGAACCCTATACTCAATGCTTATCTCTGTCCCCCATTTATCAGTGCTATGAGAAAATTCAAAGATATGGATAAACGAGGGATGAGTGTAGAGAACAATATAAGTGACACACAATTGGATTCAATACATCAGAACACTATATCTGAGATCCGTGTCTACAGTGGCTCCAAATCAGGCGCCGATAAGATATCAACGGTTGGTGTGGACGGACTGATGGTTGTCTGGGATTTAAAGGTTGGCAGAGATACACCATTTGTATGTGATTTCATTAATTAATTGTTTGTTTTTGATTCTTCGGCAGTCTTTAGAGGGATCGTTAAAAGGTCTTCGAATCGCGTGATTAACAGAAAATTAATTTATATAAAATTTAAATTAAATTCCATTCATATGTATGTATTGTGTTGTGTCGACAAAACTAAAACAAAACTCATCCACAAAAACAACAGCAAAACTGTCATTAACTGTCTTTCTATGTCTATAAACCGATACAAACAAAACACAATCGATAGTCGGTGTTAATCGCCGACCGATTCTGTTAACGAATAACTGATTTCTTAGTTAACAAATTGAAGAAAATTTTATTTTGAAATTAATTATAATTATATTATTTATCATTTATTGGTGAGAAAACAAATACATTATTAACGGCCAATCGCTTCCATACCAATCGCTAATTAATTGATTTTAAACGCAATTTTGTTTAATTTTCAAAAATAATAGACAAACAAATCATAATTTGTTTTTTAATTGCAATAATAATTGTGAAGAAATATATATTAGTTTTAGTAAAAAACAAAAGCAGTGAACGAAACGATAGAAATGTATAGAAAATGTAAAGAAAACGGACGCCATTCGCACTGTCTGTCTGTGCCTTCAATAATGAAAACTATTGACAAATTGCTCACTAATTGTCGGAAATACACACACTTTCTCTCTCTCTTCTCTCTCAACGCATATATTTTGCAAATAATAAGTGAAACGAAAAAATGAAAATTTACTGATTGGATGACAGGATATCCAGAAAAGACTTGTGTGTGATTTGGGTTTGAATTTTGTTTCAATTTCTAAAGCATTTTAATAAATATATGATTGCTTTTTTCAAACAACAAAATATAACAAATAAAGTAATTATTAATTAAATTGATTCAATGTTATAAACATTAGTGATGATTAAAAAGTTGTATTTATAACTAATAGGAAATTAATTATGATTTGTAATTGAAATTTCTTACAATTAATCAAAATATGATTTAATTTAAACTGAAATTGTGTTATAATTTGAAAGCGCAGAACATTTCACACATTTTTACATAAAGAAAAACACAAGAATTTATTGTTTTATGAAATTAATTAATTATTTTTCTTTTTATTTTATTCATTAATTAAAAATGCCATTAATTCTGTTGTAATTATTGCTAATAAAACAAATTTTAAATTTAATTGTGTTGCGAATGTTATGAATGTCTGGGAATGTCATGAAAAACAATGCAAACCTAATAAAAGTTTTGAATTACATTATGAATGACAGCTAACTGTTGGAAAATGTTTGTCTCATTTACGGTTACAATCATTATATTGTAATCAATTGTAAACGATATGAGTGTTGAAACTAAATGAGAGGTTTTTAGTGCCAGAGTTAGACAATAATTGGCAAAACAATAGGTAAAGTGTAGATTTGAAAGTACTGGTGAAATATCATATACTGTACGCCAATACTGGCGATAAGCCGGTTAATTAAGCCCATATAGGAGTTGCTACTTATGGAGTATGCGCTCGTGTAATGTTCAATATTGACATTCATGCTTTTTCTTATGCTTATTCAGCTTAAGAATTGTCAACCAATACGGGATATGTTTCGACAAATTCTTATACAATTCACATAGAATTTTACTGTCAATTAAATGTTGAATAAAATGTGATTCAAATTAATAGGAAATTATAGCACTGTTTGCTATTATTAGACCAAAAATAATAGTTTTTTGTATCGTTTTGTATATGAATTGATTGTTACCACAAATATCCTCATAATTAGTAAATTACAAATTGATTACAATTTTTAACATAAATTTATAAGTTTTGTAATATTTGAATATTTTTACATAAATTTGTGATTTAAATACAAAATTAGTCAACAAAACTGATGATCTCGTCAGCGATGGTATCAAATAACTCATTGCTCATCACATTCTTCGTGTTGTCCATAATTGTGTCCATTTGTGGCGCAAACGGCGATAAGAGTTTCGAGGAGGAGGTCTATGGCGTGAAGTACGCCAACGAATGCGAGGGTATGTCTTCTCAAATGATCACTACATTTAATCCAATGGTTCTAAAAGTTTTTGCTTAACTTTTGATTTGTTTTCACAAATAGTTTGCAAGTATTTAGTGATAGAATTGGAGGGAAGGCTCGAGAAGACGGCCAAAACACATGAAGTGATTGAAACCGGATATGGATTTGAAGACAAGACCCGTCACAAGAAGAAATATGTGCTCTCGTATGTGCTTTTTGTTGTTTGCTTTGATTGATTACTTCCCGATTGACTGCCAATCACTTCCTTTTACTCATTGTTTCCGTTTTGTTGTCAAACCAATTGTCACTCTATTTATGGTCTCATTTTGTTAGTGAACTCCGTTTAGTGGAGTCTTTGGACGGCATTTGCGAGACTCTACTCGAGTATAACGTTCACAAAGAGCGCAAAGACAGCACTAGATTTGCCAAAGGGATGAGCACTACGTTTAAGACATTACACGGATTGGTCGACAAAGGCGTCAAAGTTGATCTCGGAATGCCTTACGATCTGTGGGACAAACCATCCGCCGAAGTCACGCAAATGAAGACACAGGTATGTCGTCTCTCTCTCTCTCTCTCTCTCNTTACGATCTGTGGGACAAACCATCCGCCGAAGTCACGCAAATGAAGACACAGGTATGTCCTCTCTCTCTCTCTCTCTCTCTCTCTCTCTCTCTCTCTCTCTCAAAATATTGATCATTTACTGAACCAATTAGTGCGAGAATCTTCTGGAGAAACACGAGTCAGACATTGAGAACTGGTATTTCCACCATCAGAACCAACCCCTCCAGAGCTATCTGTGTGTCGACAGAGCCCTCAAGAGAGGCGATTCCGGATGTCTGACCGAAGAGATCCCGACCGATGGCGACACCAAAACGAGTGATAAACAAGAATTATAACCACAAATATTTGTGTATATTTTAATAGCAATTTTTATATCAACTCTTTATTACAATAATAATAATAACTTATTTCAAACATTCAAACGGCAAACGAAACGATGTTTAAAATATGTCCAAAAACTTAACAACAAATTGTACAAAATGTGAGGCAATTATTGTATATAATATATAATGTATATATGATTTGAGGGGTAATTTCACGATTCATTTAATTCATATTTAATTTGAAAAATTCTGGCAATTTTCCGGTCCTTTTCTGCCAAAAGTAATCGTAAATCAGTTTAACGATCACCAGAAGAATAATGGCCGCCAACAGCCAATTGATAATCTCAAACATGTCGATGGGATCGTGCGATTGCGGACACAACTCCGACTTCGGGATCCGTAGCAGCACTTGATTGGCGAAGCGTTTGTCGAAGTGCTCGGAATAGTGACCGTTTCGCACATTGACCGCAGAGTTGGCCGTCGGGGCGGCGGCCGCGCAGCGCATGCTATACACGTCTTTGACACTCTTGAAGTGGTTCTGGAGCCACATCTGAAACGGAACCGTATGGCAGTCGCAACGCCACGGGTTGTCCGACAAATACAGCTCATCCAAGTGTGACAACTGATCCAATATATAGACCGGAATCTCACGCAACCGATTGTGGTTCATATGAAGGG